AAGTTGAGAAAATAAAGGCAAGATAAACATGCTAAGGAAAAGATTTTAGTATCAGAAAGTAGAACATTCAAACATTATGTTTTCATTGTGTTTCAAACATTATGTTCCTTAAATATAATATCAATATATTATCATTATTTTAGTTAAATTTAGCAATGTTATACTGTTTCAAAAAATTCGTTGATAAATTCCCAGGCCTCCAAATTAAAAATTTTCTATCAAATCTGATCTTAAAATCACTAAATTTAGAGCCGTTTAATAAAAGAATTCACATCATCCCCAAAAGCGGAAAGTTGTTTAAGAGCTCTTTATTAGAAGAAAAAAAATGAAATAATTTTTAAATGCTTATGTTTAAATCCTTGCTCAGAAACTCCAGTATCACACCCTTTATCTTAGATATAGAAACAAGTTAAAACCCATGAACCCATTCAAAAGATAATATTTGTTCAGTGAATATCACCAAAAATATTCCTCCAAAATGATAATACATGCTCAAAATAGCAGTCGTAAAAACAAGGGAAAATTTCAAATGATTAAATTTAAGGACCTTCTGCCAATTTTGGCTGAAATTAAGGACTTTTAAGGACCAAAAATCGATTCCAAAAAACTTAAGGACTTTTAAGGACTGTACAAACCCTGGTATGATATTCATTTCAGTCTTTAGACTTTACGTAATGATACTTTTAGGCTCTAGCGTAGAATTGGGTGCCCCTTCGATTAGCGACAATTTTTTGAAAAATTTTGGCAATGAAATCTCATTTTTGGTTAACTTTGCTTTAGCCTCCTGATTTTTTTTTTTTTTAAAGAAAAGTAGATTGATGTGTACATGGTCAAATTTAAAGCAGTGTGCAATGCCTAGTTTGTGCAATTCTGGGATGTTTTTTTAAGTGAAAACAGATCGATGTGTACATGGACACAGAGTTTATGCAATTCTTTGACTTCTTATTTTGGTTTTGTGTAGCGGCCATCTTGAAATTGTGTCTTCCTGGCACCGACCTTGGCGTCAAAAAAGAGTCACCAAAAAAGAAGGGGCATCCAATTGTAAACTTTTACCTACTTTTCTACTTATTTGCAGCTCTAAGGAAAATTGTCAACTCGCTGCAATTTTGCGAATTGGTAAAAAATATCTGCTTGGTTATCTTTACATAGGTATTAAAGAGGATGAAGCCACAGTTCACATAGCCAGATCAACAGCGGCCATTTGACCAACTAATCACAAGTACTATTTTGGTCAATAACAATATTTTCAATAATAAGGAAGGATTTATAAGAAATTTTTTGCGAAAAAGACAAAAATCTCTATGTTTCATACTTTAAGTTTTAAAGCCAGTGTATACTACTCGGTTAAATATAAAGCATACAAACCTACATATATTCAAACATGCATATAGTATTACAAGCAGGGGTTGGCAAATATCACATGTACACTTGAAACATAAAATTTCTATTGAAACTACAGATGCAGATTATCAGAAAGAATCATCTTGAATAACTTTTGCATAATACAGGAGGTAAAAAGAACGCAATAAAATATGGCTTAAGTGAAGTACTGAATGCTTGCAGAATTTGGAGACTTTGTTGTTAGATAATAATTTGGGTAGAGTAGACTTTAAGGTATCCCTTGTATTATGGCGAAGTTGTTGTTTGATTTATCGCCAAGTTGTTGTTTCATTTATGGTAGCCTGAGTAGTTGAATGTTATCGAAACCCTATTGTGACGTAATCAGGTGCATGATTCTGGGAAATTTTGAATCATGGAATGTATTTTAAGCGTTTTTGTGGTGTGTGTTGATTTGATTCTTTAGACGGTAGAATGGCCGGATGTAATAAGATTATTTTGAAGTTTCTGTACGATTTGGAGCGAAAGGGGAAAAGAGCTTTAATTGACTGGTGTGTGAATGAAGTTTTACTTAGTAGCCATTAAGTGTCCTGTATGTAGGAAGGATATACATCTAGTCAAACATAAAAACTGTTTAGATGGATTAGAACGGGTTTGTAGGAAGAAATGTTCAGATGGTCACTATGTGAAGCGTTCGATCAGAAAGAGTACCTGGTTTGAAAAAAGTCATTTGAGTACGATTGATATTTTGATTTTTACATGGCTCTGGGTGTACGAAGCGAACTCGAAAATCATGGTAAGTGAATATTTGCTTTTGGTAGTGCTTAAATGTATAACATGTTCTTCCTTTTTTATGTTATTTTATTGTTTAGTTTAAAATGTATTTTATTGAGATTAGGTATTTTTTGTTTGCCTGTATTGTAGAATTTGGTGCTCCTTTGGCTTTTTAAGTGAAAATGTATCGATGTGTACATGGACAAAGTAAAGGGAGTGAGGAATGCAAGTTTGTGCAATTCCGGGATTTTTTTTAAAGTGAAAATAGGTCGACACGTACATAGATAAAGCTAAAAGAGTGCGCAATGCCATTTTTGTGAAATTCAGGGAATTTTTTTAAAGTGAAAATAAGTCGATGTGTACATGGATACCGAGTTTGTGCAATTGTTTGTCTTGTTATTTTGGCTTTGTGTAGCGGCGAGTTTTAGCGCAAAAATCGACGCTTCGTAAGCCAAAATAACGAGTCAAAGAATTGCACAAAATCGGTATCCATGTACCGCCAAAAATCGCCAAGTTTCGCCAAGGGGTACCCTAAACTATACCAGTAATTTTATTCTGCTAACGTTACATTCATTGCTAGAAAATTACTTTTTTTTAACAACTCCAATCGACAGGATTGTGAGATATTTCTCTGGTTATGCGTTCTCTGTGTTTGAGTGCTATTTGATATTTCCAAAATGGCTTATTTCCATATGATGAAAAGAATCCCTCTTTTATTTCTATTACACTGGAATGTTTCATTAAAATGTGCATAGAAGTTTCAACTGTTCTTTTCTACTCATGATCATGGCTGGTGTGCAATGCCAGAAGAAAACAACAGCTTCCTTTTCATTATGTTGATAATGTCTGCTGCCTTACGATGCATATCAATAGTTTGATTATCTTTCTAAAAAAATGTCACCACAGTTGTCAACTTACACCTGATAATTTTTACATACAATATATACAGTAATCCGGACGTCCATTATCCGGAATGATCTATAATCCGGACCTCAAAGCCACAAACTTATGCATGCGTGTAAAGCATTTACCTCGCGCTTCCGATAGTGAAGAAAGTGACAGAGAGGTTATTGAAAACGAAAAAATTTCGATTGACAAGTTAGTCGGTATTCTTGACACAGCAATTACAGGACTTGAACAGTAGAAGTTTGTAACTGAACAAGAAATTATGTCTGTTTACAGAATTAAAGAGAAAGTATTAACACAAAAAAACGAAGCAATTTAAACAACTTACAATCAAACTTATTACATTGATAGAAAACTTTAATAAAGTAAACAAATATTAAGCTTTTTTTTTTTTTTTTTTTTTTTTTTTGTAAATTTCGATGCCCTTTAGATTATAATTGCTCTTTATTTCATAAATTACGGTTTCATATTTTTAATTTTATAATTTCTGTATGCCATCTTAACAGATTTAAGTTCATGATCTATAATCCGGAAAAACCCCTAACCTGGAATCGCCAAAGTCCCGACAAGTCAAGATAACGGACTTTGTACTGTATAATGTTAACAAGTTTAATGTTAAAACTGGTTTATATATAATCTAAATGTTTTCCACAGATGGTTCTGCTATCTATCAAAAGGATTTGGAAAACTGCATATACCATTATGAAAACATTTATTAAATAACACTCAAATATGAGAAAAGTGATAAAAGCTGTCATATGCCCTTTAATCACTTTAAACTGCTAGTACAATTTTGGACATACGTTTTTTCCCCCTTTTAACAAGCTACAGTAGACTCTTCATTGACCAGGGTAATATCAGGGCTGAACAACTGCAACAGAACAGCCAACAGCAACTGAAGAAACATATGTAGGAATACTAACACATACTGCGTAATTAAAGGAAAAAGTATTAACAATTTACTTGTTCTTTTAGCCAGTTTAATTTAGAAAATAAATTCACTTAGTTACGCAAATTAATTCTGTATTTAAAACAAGAACAGTGGATAATGGGGCAGTTTGATGGACAGTCGAAAACAGAAAATTAATGGATATTCACTTAATTTATTTTTATGATTTAGCAAGTTATTCATAATGGACAATTTAACACACATTTTCTTTTTGATTATGCATTTCCTAAATTCTGATGGTTTGTGACAGTTATTTCTCTATTGAAATCTACTTGCTTGAAACACTCTTACAGCTACTCAGGATAAAGTTTTTCAAATTGGAAAAAAAAAAGGGAGGGAAGATATATCAACAAAATTAAAGGCTTCTGCAAAGCATTAATATCTGAGTATTTTCAACTAAATATTCTTTCAACAAACTTCAATTACTACTACACTACATATCATACTTGAACTGCAAGTGTTAAAGGAATGCATTACAAGGTGCAACAAATAACATGAACAGGATTATATTTATTTGTCATAAATGATTCTCTTTCATTCTTTTCATTGTTACTAATTAAAAGTTTAATAATTTATCATCGGAACTAAAAGCTTTCCGAACATTAAAACGGGCTGCCATTACTGAAAATTCGTAACAGCACATATAAGAATTTACACATAATAGGTCGAATAGGTACAGTTTAAATTAAATTTTTGTTTTGCTCATTTAACTTTAAAGAATCTTTAAAATAAATTACTCTAACAGCTGTTAATACTGTGTTGAAAATAAGCACGTAAAAATCAACTAGCATTCTCTCAAACATCCCTATGCTATTTAGAAGTATTAACAAGACTTTAAAATCTTATGTAATAATATCTTGACGAACAAAAAGTAAAGTACTTTTGAGAGTAAAGTATTCTCTTTGAAAATTTATAGGTGATTTATGCTGATTTAGAAGGTGAAAACGTAATCTGGATTCTCTCTCCAAATACATGAAGCAGCATGCATCTTTTAAAAATCTGGATGTTCATGACAGCACGCATGAAAACTTACTTGTAATAGTTCGAATAACTGCAATTTAAATTGCGCTTTACATATCCTCCTTTCCTCATTTAACTTTAATGCGCTGAGGGTGTTTCACAGCACATCACAGCTTAATACATAAATTAACCCATCAGCTGTTAAAATTGCGCTGAAAATAAACATTTAAAAATCAACCATTTAACTAAACAATTACATTAGACCATTGCGCAATCACATGTAATTGTTATTCTGCTGCCATCTACTATTCCAAATACCTTGAAATTTTTATTTTGTGGCCTTATAAAAGCGCTTTTATTTCATCTGTTATGCCAGTTTAGAAACCGCTAAAATTTTCTATTTTATAAAATTTTTGGATTATTTCTGAAAAGCGTAACATCCGAAGTGAATTATCAAAATGCATGAAATGCAAAATATTTACTTCAAAACTGTTTGTCACTCCACCTATTCATCTTCCATTTGACCGAGTCAGAGACTCGAAAGTTTTTGAAGTCATCATGGGCATCGATTTAGTATGTGGTCCTCTCTTTCTAAAGAACAAAACCAAGGTATGGATTGTCATTTTAACATGCGCTGTGTATCGCGCCGTACACTTGGAATTAGTGACTAATTTGTCAACAGAAGGTTTCATCTATGCCCTCAGGAGACGGGGAAGAATTTCAAAAATCTACAGCGACAACAGGACTAACTTTAAATTTCGAAAGGTTGTTGGTACCCCTGTACCTTTTGAAAACTTTAAATTGGTGTCAAATAAAAAATTCTGAAGACCTAGCTCCCATTAAATGGAAATTCATTCCTCCAACAACTGCTTGGTGGAGTGGATGGTGGGAACGGCTCATTCGCGGTGTAAAAAATCTTCTAAGAACACTTGGTAGATCATCATTCAATTTTGAAGACCTTTCAACGATATTATGGGAAGTTGAAGCTGTAATGAATAATCGACCTCTTACATATATTTCAGAAGAATAAAATAAATTTATTCCCTTGACTCCATCATCTTTTATTCAAGACATCCAAGAAATTGGGATACCTGATCTAGAGAAAATTAATTTCCAGAAACTTCGAAAAAGATACCGAAAATGCCAAAATATAAAAGATCAATTGAGAAATAGATTTCGAAAAGAATATGTGGCAAATCTCGTTCAAAACTCAAGAGAAAAGGCTGAAGTGACCCAGACGGGTGGCGTATTTCCAAACCCTAGAGCTACTAGATAGTAGCCTTTATAGTAGCCTTACCAAACCCTACCCCACTTTTCGAATTTTTGACTTCATGGACAAATCGACTAGTTTCGCCTGGATGGTAATTCTTGAGCATGCGCTGAAGGGCGAGAAGTAACATAAACAGAACTGTGGCTTGCTCTTCTAAACAGTATTAAGTATATTGTCTGAAAGTATATTCGTTTATGTAATTGCATAATTTTACAGTTTCTGTAATAAGAAAACTTCATTCAGATAAAATTTATTTAAATATTATTATTATTATCTGGTTATAGGATTATACGAAATGCTGAATACTCTAGGTATATCGTAATCTTCGCATAACCTTTCACATTGGATTTTGCCGTATCATTTTAAAATATATTGTATATAAAGATTAAATCAAAGCAAATTACTTTGTTAGAGATGTGAATGTTCTAACTGAATTTTCTTTTTATCACTTATTATTTATTTCCTCTTTGAAAACACATTCATATTTGACAAATAATTATCTCCGCTGAAAATTTTTGATCGTTTAAAAACTATATTTGTCAATAATGTAATAAAAACTCACTAATCTAGTGCTTCATAGATCAATATGACAACGAATTTCAAAATGTTTTAAAAAACCATTCTTTAATCTTTTTTGTAGTAGATGCAACAATGTCACAGAGAAAAAATATTTCAATAAAAAAGTTCTCCATGTTAATTCAATAGCAAAATTATTTCTATTTCAGTGAGAAATCCACTTTCAATGCTTATATAACAGAAAAATGTAAGATAAGCATTTTAGAAGTTTTAAATATAAGCTAAAGGTTTACTGTACAATTTTAAGTAAGAAACGTAATAATTTACTTTCATTCCTTTTAAATCGGCATATTAATTTCCAATCACTAAAATTTTGGCAATTTAGAGACTTAACACACAGTATTCCGTCACTTAAAATATCAATTAATTGTTCTTTTCATTTAGAGATACATTGGAATTGAAAATACCAAAGGCAAAATGGGTCACAGATCCAACCTAATTCCTTATTTGGAAATTTTTCAAAAAAAATTTCTGTCAATTTTATCATATGTTGTTTTAAACAAGAAATCTGTATATTTTCTTTAGTAAATTGTGAAAAGCATGTTTTTTTTTTTTTTTTTTTTTTTTCAATTCTCCTTGCCAAAGTATTGGCTTAGTTTTTAAAAGCTTACATTAGTACAAACTGCGACACAGTGTGTCTAGGTAAGATTATTGTTTCAAAATGTCTGTTAATAATTTCAAATATTTTCTCTCCAGTTGCTTTTCTTTTCTTTCCCAAATATTACAACATAAAAAATATTCTACTGCGTCGTCTTCAAAAACATATCTCAGATAAACGATGAATTGAAACATTTTAGTAATGTCGGTAGTTTCATCAAGTTTTATAGTAAAGACTGGATTTTGTATTCTATAGTGTCTGATATGACAAAAATTTGGTGAGAAACGGTATCTTTTTTTAATGCTATTGTTTTTAAATCGTTACTATATTTTTCTGCATGCATAAATGATGTCATTTTAATTGCTGAAGGAAGAATGAGCGATTCTCCAATTGTATGAGGTTTTAAATTTTTTGCAATTAAATATGAAACTTTTAAGGATGCCTGTAAATCCTTCTCAGGAACTGTTGTATATTTTTTCAAAAATACATTTTAATTTTTCATGCTCTCAGCTCATTCCTTAAAAAAATTCTTCAGATTTATTTACTTAATCTTTATGTTTAGTTTCTGAGGTACTTTTCAGTTTCACTGGCGCAAATCTCGCCAAGCAGACTTTGTTGACGA